GACATCCTAAACTGGATCTATTCTCTCTATCACATATCCCATCAATATTGAGGGCCTGAAAAACCAGCAACCACAGCAAGTTAGGACAGTCAATAAAACATTGCCTGTTCTTTTTGCATTACCATTACACTATGCTTGTGCCGTTCCAAACATGACAACGCCGTGCTAAAATAGAAAAATAGGAGGATGATGACAGGCCTGCTGTTGGCTCTGGAAGCTGTGGACACAAAATGGTATGCATACTGTGTAGACTGTTTGACAGATTTGTAAGCTCAATTAAGTAGAGTAAGATTATATTTATACAGCTGTATAGCTTCTTATGCACTGGCCAACTTCCTACACTAAATGTTTGGAAGACATTTACTTTCCTTTTCTGCATTTAAGTTAAAAAATAATTGCCTTTTTGTATTTCAAATTGTTCCCATAATTAAATTAATCTGCTCTCTTAGAGCTGTAAATTAACTTTTTTGGCCACAGCACTGGTGCTACAGAGGTTGACAGTCTAAAGACAAAAACTTGTAGCACGATATAAAAAACATCTACATCTCTAAAACAAACCACAAGTATTGCAGTGTATTATTTAAACAAGTTGTTATTGGCGAAAGACATTCATTTTGCAGACAATACACAAAATTAAAACTTTAACAAGAAGTGTTCTCATTTAAACATTTTACTTACCTATAGAACATAAACAACAGTATTTGCCCATAGGACAAAAACAATTTGAGTTTGTTGTAGCTTATAACTGAATCTGTGTGATTTGCTGCCTGGATCTGCTCATAAGGTCAGAGCGGAAGAAGGTGAAGACCAGGTTCATTTTATGTTGTTTTCTGTCACACATCACCCTGTTATGTTTGTTGTATTTACTGATTACCTATTTTCTGTTAGAGTGTGTGTGATATACAAGCAATAATGTAGCTCCAGCACAGATAAGGAGGTTGTGTTCATTTGAGAAACACCACATGGTACTGAATCACTAGATCACATAGCTAACCTGACAGCGGTGGCAGGTCAGCATCTTGCTGGGCTTTGCCATCTGTTTACCTGTAAAAGCCAACCACTCCCAATACCTACGCCTGCTTCAGGAAAGCAATTATCTGTCCACACCTTCTTTGCATTTTTCTTCCTTTACTGTCTCTCATTCTCTTCATTGTCATCACCCTCTTATTACATCAGAAACAACCACTCCTAAAATTGTTTTGTTTTGGGTATAGCTTGTTGTAAATCCTCTTCTGTACTCTAAACTCTTCAATAATTTGCTTCATTTCTAATCCTGTACTCTGAGTAGTGTAAAATAAGACAATCTTGGCTTTAAAGGCCTCTAACTTCTCTCTCTGTTTGTCTCTGGAAACTTCAACAAGATGGGCTGTCTTGTTTCCAGTCTCATCATAACATACTGCTGTTAGAAGGCTGGACAGGCGTTATTTGCAGCACACAGTATTTCCCCCCTTTAACAGGGCTTAAGCAGACTTAAAGATAACAGTGGACTTTGCATTTATTTGTTTTAAAGAAAAAAAAGGCAATTTAAGGGATTTCATAGACACAAATCACCACTTAGTTAACTTACTCCATGTAACTACTGCTTCAAATTAGTGCTGGGCGATATGGCCTAAATTTGATATCACAATATTTTTTTTGCCTAATGTCGTTATTCGATATGACTCAATATTTATCGTTTTAAAGTTTATAAATGTAGCCTATAAAACTGAATCTCCATTGTATAAAAAAAAATATCACTGGCCCAGGAACATTACTTTTGATTCGAAAAATAACAGTCACCAATTTACTCTTAAACCATTCTGATGCAAAAGTCAACTACAACTTTTATTTAATTAAATGAGCTCTAATTATAAAAATATTGTGTATTTTTCTTATATTTATGTGCTCATGTTTATTCACCATACTGGTAACTGTAAGAGTCTACTTAATTCGACTGACATTAATATGAGGCTGTGATAGATCTGCAATTGTTATGATCACCTTTCTCTCCTTCTTTCTTCTCTGTGAGAAACTCTTCATCCTTAGATCTTTACTTAAGCTCTCTTAAGGGCTAAGATTCTTTGTGAATAACTTTTATCTTTACCATGATCTAGTCTTTCACTTTAAAGGGAAATTTAGCTGCAGCGTGTTCCAGCTCCTCCAGCTGTCTGTCACTGTGGCTTCAACTTTTTTCCGTTCTGTTATAGTCATGCCCTGCTGTCACTCTCAACTCTTCCGGTGATTTTTTTTCCTTTGAATGCTGATTTTAGCCCGGCTTTTGTCGGGATCTGATGGTTTTAAAACCGTTTTACCAAACGTGTGTTTTCGTAGACAAAACCTGCGCTAAAATCTGTGTGCGAGCGTACAATTCGAGTGTAGCGAGCGCGTTTTTGGAAGTAATTCGGCCTCGCTCACATCTTTCTCTTTCTCCTCCATGTTGGTCGCTTATAAGAGCTAGGCTACTCAGCGGCAAGGGTGGAGTCTCCTCCGCCCTTTCGTCTCCGTGCAACAAGTGCCGCCGCAGAAATCTTGCGGAGCAACGAAATCTCGCGGAACAACGAAATATCGCAAGAAAACTTTGAAGTAGTTTAAAAAATAAAATCGATGTTCCCTTTTCCATATCAAGCATTAATTAAATATCGATCGAATCGAGCTTCACGATATATCGCCCAGCACTACTTCAAATTGCTTCAAGTTCACTTTTTTTCTACATTGTTGTTGTCTACCAACTCTTTAAAGGCTGGAAGAAACAACTGAACTACAGAATATAGGTACTGGGGTAGATTAAATTTGGTTAATCTGCCCCAATAGGATGTTTAACAAATCATTTGTCAACAAAATTGAAAACTACAGCCTTTTTGATGATAGGAGGTATTATGGACCTATTAATTGTCATTCAAGTGCTCAAATTAACATCGTTTTATTGACCATTCAAGAGAGGCAACTGGTAGATGTCTTCTCTTGGCTGTAAAAACATTGACCATACATACACAAACACGCATTAACACCAGTAAAAAAAAAAAATATTGGAAGTTGGAGAGGCAAAAACATTAAACACAATGAATAAGGATGAAGACACCCCTGTGAGAGCAATGGGAGGGGACAACAAGGTGGCCAATTTCTGACATGTTGAGGAGGTTTGGTTTTTTTTTTTTACACCTTTTTTTCCATTTGTGTTTGTTTATCTTTAGAAAATAAAAAGTTTGAGGATATATAATTTTTTTTTAAAGCTCTGGATGAGAAGTGTGAACCTTCTGACTTAAAGGCAATTACAGAAGCAGCTACTCCAGGGATTTCTATTGATTTCTTTCCTCCCTTCCTCTCCCTCTTTTGCTTCCTCTATTTCGTACTCAGTCTATTTCCCACGCATTTGCAATTAGTATGCAGGACTGAGGCTGCAGAAAAACGAACTTCCTAGGGAGTAGAACCTAGAAGTCACACATAAAACCTAAAAAAGTAATCATCATATGCAATGAAGAAGATGCCCAAAAATATAATTTCAACATGCAGAAGGTTGGATTACATTATGTCAGTAAGGGTTTACCAGCTAGCTTCAGCCACTATAGCTATCCTTGTATTTGCCCATAAAGGGGTTTACATATGGACACTGGCAGACATCAGGAAGAAAACAGCATGACATCTGGCAACATGACACCAAATGGGTGATGTCTATCTAATTTGGGGGTTGCTGTTGTCTGGCTTTTGCATGCATTTCTAATTGACAGTGGTAGAATCATGGGATCACTGTCATTTTATGAGGAAACATCATGCTAGTTGAATTAGGGTGCACCGCTTAGGACACTGATGCATCTTGATTCATCATAATGCTGAGAGATATGCATACACGTACACAAACAGGCAGGCATTACATAAACAGCCCATTTCCAGCACAAGACCGATCTGGGCTGACTGGAAAAAAAAGACAAAAAGAAGAGGCAATGAGGAGGATTGTGAGTCTGATGTTGCAATGTAACCATCAGGAAAAAGAGAGGGAAAAGCCATGTCTTCTAAACCTGAAACAGTGCTGAGGCAATGAGGATGGCTTTCTATTTATAGCAACAGATTTTTTATTCAAGAGGGCTCTGCCGCTGTGCTTTCTCTCACGCTTATGCTACCTCTTTCTCACCTCCTCTCTATTTTTCACTTTTCCCCACACATTGTGTTCCACAAATACAGGGTATGCATACTGAAGTATGCAGGTGTGAATATCTATATTTTATTTAGAGATGAAAAGATATTTCTAATCCCATATGCTTGCACAAACATTTGTAATCAATAGCCATTACTGCTCCTTTGAGCCAAGAGGATCATTGAGGATAAACTTCAGGGTCTCTTACCACAGGACTTCCCACATGAAGCCTTATGTAAGTGCCTAGGTTGTCCTTTTTCCCTGCACCCTTCCCTCCCTCCCTGCCTCCTCAGTATGACAGTGTGGCAGAGTGACGCCCACTTCTTGGTGACTCTCCCCCCCCATTAGGCCACCTCCACCCTCCTCTCTCCCTCCTCCCACAAAGAGACACTGAGGAAGGGAATTCCTCATTGCCTCAGCATTTGCCTCCTTAAACAAGTTTTGCGTGTCGTTGTAAACATGAACCTAGACTGACCACTAGACACAAACACAATTAAAGTCACTACATATTAGATACAATATTTAAGCAAGCCACATGTGTAAATTACATCTTTAAAAAATCAATTAAGGTATGTTGCTCTTAGCCTTAGCATCCTTATGAAACGAGTTACATTTATTAGCAGAAACTGTAAATGACGGCTATGCAATTACCCTTCAAGTTTCATGTATGATTTTCACAGTTTTACAAAGGTATAATTAAATGAATTGCAGCAGGAACTTCTCAGAGACCAAAAACGTCATACATAAGAGGTAATTATAGCCTTGGCAATGGCTGCACTTAAAAAATCTCAAGAGTTGTGAAAGGCAGATGAACAAGCCACATCTCACCTACAAATTATTAACACCCACCGACAAAGACACACACACACATGCATGCACAGCACATGCTTACTGTATTTAGAATTCAGCTCTGTGGATCTCCAGCCAAGTCGGATCAGGTGTCTCACAGATAAAAGCAAATTATCGCAGGAGAAGTGGCGACGGAAGCAGTAGCAGCTCTGGACCAAAGCTGACATCAGTTTTATCTCTTTGAGCGGTACAGATGAATTTCCTGCAGCATGTAAGTATTGGAGTGTCAGGGCTGTTTACCTCAGGCACTCTTTTCAGCTGATTCTACTTTCTTCATCTTCACGCTTGCTCTGCTGCCTCCCTGTCTGCAGGTACCATCGGCTCTGCTTCATTACTGGGTTTCATTGGAAGAAAGAAAACTCCCATTTGACTGCCCCCTCTCTTTTTCTGAATGAAGCACAAGCACTACATGGAAACAGAAAGCCTTGTTTGCTGGCTGACTCTTTCTCTGCCTACTGCTCTTATGCTATCATGCGCACAGTTTGCACCGCTCCCTTCTCCTCCAACCCTCCCTCTCATGTGGATTCTCTCTCTGTCTCTCTCTCACATATCTTGTTTGCTCTCTTCTTCTGTGTTACAATATAATTGTGATGACAGCGAACCCAGGGCTTGCAGGGAGCCCAGCTGTTTAAAGGGCTTCTTGGATCAGCCAGTATGTCACCTGATAAAACAGCATGATATCTATTTATTTATTTATATTACATTAAATCGTTTTTTTCACATGCAGAATTTAAGGTATGGTTCTTCTTTTTGCAAACAAGGACATAAGAGTAGACATAGCCATTCACTCTTGTCACCATTCAACACACTCCATTAAAGCAGAATGCATGAAGACGTATGAAGCCTGTGTCTGGACAACCTGAATGAGCTAAAAGTACTGACAGCTGCTGGTGGAACAGAAAACTACTGCAATGGTCAAAAATAAGAAATAAAACCAGAGGGATTTTGAGAAAAGATAGCGGGGGGAGATAGACAAAACCACCTCATTAGCCAGGAAAAACCTTAATCCCACAAGAGGACATATTTGCATCTTTTCCCTGCAGCCCCCACACTGCGAGCGGAAGCTGAAAGACACGGTGGAAAAGAGGCAGTCAAAAGTTCAGCATCAAAGGAAACGTCAGCAAGGAACTCTGGGTAAGGTAGCATAAGTCCAGCAATGTCTGTCTCTTAGTTGGGAGAGTTTAGCTGACAAGTCACCAGGCTTCACTTCATTTAGGACTTTGTGTATCATAATTAGTAATTAGTTGCACTTTGGCTGTGAATACAACATGTACCGGTAACAATAAGAAACAAACCATTGGAAGTGTTATGCAGGAAAAAGTACTTGTTGTGAAAGGGAACCAGACAAACCGTTACAAAACCCAACGAGGGAGCACGATCTGCATCAAAACATCTGGGTTACAACATTTACACAGATGAATGCTTCAGAAATGCTTAATGTCCAGACATACATGTATGAGACACCATGCAAGTATGAGATTCAAAAGATGACAATCCCAGGAAAAGCACAGCTAAATGGTGTGGTTCCTAAATAAGGAAAAACTATATTTTGTGTGTCATTAAGGGCCTTTATAGTTATTTGAGTTCTGAGGATGCCTTTTAAAGAACATGCACATTAGACTGGGAGCCTCAAGTGAAATAACTTGTTTTCAGTCGAAAGAGTCAGACTTAAGCAGGCCAAAACGTAGTTGTTGGTTGAACAGCATGGGCTGAATGTACAATTTTAAGATGTGAACAACTGCAAGATTAATTAACTCATTTAAGTCACAAGCCTAGCATATTACAGCAAAGTTATTTTACATTTGGTGCAGATTGAAACTAACCCTAACCCAGACTTTTCATTATTGGATGTTTTAGTAACTCTAACTTCTCCTGCGGTGCATGTTGGAAGTGAAAAGTGGAGCGTGCATTTGGGGTGCACTATATCTACAGCAGGCATTGGGAAGATGTTACAATCTGTAAGTTTCTAATTGTTGATGAATGCAGACACAGTGAGAGTGAATGGAGAAAAGTCAAACCAACCGTTTGACCAGATCAAGTGTGTTTTCCGAATTCCAACTCAGATCAACTGTGTTCCGTTGCACTACAAAGTAAAGAGGTGCGATTGTGCAACGATGTATGTTGGTGTGTCTAAGGGTGCCCTAGTGATGCGCCGTCGTGCAGACAACAGAGGAGCAGGGAAAAATAGCTGCAACAACATCAAATACTCTTTAATACATGACCGTTGGGTATGAACATTTACTTGCCATGTGGCGTATAGCCCTGTGAAAGTTACTCTGCCCAACGGAAAATCTTTCTGGATTTAGCAGGTAATAATTTTAGATACTAAATAAGCCTATTATTAAATATCAAAAATTAACATTATTTGCTGTACGATAAAATTTAAATATAAAAGACTGGAGCAGATAAGGAATAACCAGCCACCACAAGCTGATAAATTGGATGGAAGAACTCAACAGGTTTTTGCTGCAGTTTAGGCTTTCATCAAACCTACAAGAGTTCAATATGGAGTGCCATGTGCCACAGTTCACAATTTTTCTTGTATGCAAACCACTTGTGTTGTAGCATTATAGCCAATAATTAACACAATCACCCTAATCTGTTGTACTTTTTTGCAATTTATTAGAGACACACTTACTGCAGTTTATTTGGCTGATTCCAATTTTCCAAGGTCTGGCCAGTCTATTCCGGATTTGGTCATTTCAGATTTTCTGTCTTTATAAAAAACTGTAAATGACAGCAAAACCAACCTTTTTTTTTTACTTTTCTATTCTAAAAATCTGTTTTGAGTTCATAATAAAACTGTTAATCTAAAAAAAATCTTCAACACTGCACATGGTTACGTGACCATCTCTCATTCTCACTCATACTATTCTACCCCAGATCATTTTGAGTGTCAAACCCTTTATAACCCTAATATATTCTCTTGTATTCTTATGCCATAATCTAATGTGGAAGTGTGCATCAATTTGAAGTGAAACAAAAATACTCAAACAAAAAATAATACATGTATTATCTGCATTAAGATCACATTCCAGAAAAAATAACAGCAATTATTTAAACGCTGTTTATCCCTCATTGTTTAATATAAGCAAACTACCTTCAGCTTTTGCACAGTAGATCTACTAAAGTCTGAAAACACTGCTGGTTACTGGGACCTCATACTGATACTAGATTGTTGAGCACATCAATCTTGCAATCTTTATTTCCAAGGAGACTTTTCTGCTCCAGAGAACAACAATTTGAAGCCGTAAACAGGCCTGCATCCATGTAAAGCACCTTAGGTGCTGTGATATTGTCCACAGAGTAAGTCTACCACTCACATTACAAGGTGAAAATATAGACTTGATTCTGGGTGATAACGGGAACGCAATGTTCTTCCTCAGCTTTGGAAAATAATTGTTTATGTTTACAAATAAGTCTAGACTTATACCAACTTTTGGAATGTCCTCTTTTTTTAGCAAATACAGAGGACTTCCCTTTAATTTGTTTCCATTCCACATACAGGCCGCATTAAGGCTCAGGGATTAGCACAATGCCCTCTGGTTCAAACCCACAGTCAAAATGTGTGGTTCCTGCAGGTACAGATAGTTGATGGATGGACAAATGCCCAAATTTTGTGTAATATGCCAGATAAGAAACAGACCAATGACTCTGCAAGCATGGTCCTTCTAAATGACTTGTCTCTGGTAGACCACATGACTAGGACAAAGGGAAAGCACTAATACCACCTTAGGCTCCAACCAATGGCAGCAGTGTCTTCTGCATTTGTGAAGCCAGGTCTTTCCCAGGACAGCAAGGGAGACAGAGAAGGCTTAGAGAGCAGGAGCTGAGCAAGGATCAGTGGCCAAAGATATCACAGATAAACTGGTGCTGCAGTCTCTGCACGCAGCATATAACTAAGGTTAAGCTTTCAGAAGAAGACGGTTAGAACGCGCACTGCAAAGAAGTTGTGCTTTGGAAACAGTTTCTTAAATAAATGTTAGATAAATGTTCCTTTTTGGTTTTACAATATTTGAACAAACTAAGTTACCATTGTATTAAGTGAATAGATAGTTCAATATTCTTGTTTTCCAACAGATTTACTGGTTTGATTCAAATACAGATTTCAACATGTGATTTATTCTTTGTTTCTTTTCCTTTGAACTTTCAAATGAAAACCCTCAAGCTTTGCAGCAATTACAATGAAGTCTGTCAGGCAGCTCTACCCAATCTGAGACCAGACTTACTCTTTGCAACCAGTCGCCTCACTTCTGCTCTGATCAATAATTTACATCAAAGCAAGCAATGAGAGAAAAATATGGAAAAGGGAACTGAGAAACACAGAAAACATCAAGTGAGAGGGAGCTCAAAATAAAAACACAACAGAAGAAGAAAAAGAAGAGGGAATGAATAATGATGGAGAGCGACAGAGAACAGAAGCAGGGGTGGTTAAGAGAAGAGAGATAGGAGCAGCAGCAACAGCACCACGCTTGGTGCTCTGGCAGAGATCTATAAATAGCTCTTCAAATCTCTCTAGAAAAAGCCACTCTTCTGCTTATGCTGCTGCAAACAGATATTCAGAGATGGAAGAAGATGGGAATACCTGACTGAATAGATTAATTCAAAGATTATGAATTATTGCATAAAATATGTATTTCTCCATAACATCTATCCAAAAACTATTGTTTTTCAACAGCTTTTGCATTCACAATCTTGGCTTGCATAAATATTTGATCGTGGGAAGTGAAGACAGTTATAGCAAGTAGGTTACCTCCAACACATGAAATCACATGTCCAACTGGTGTATGAATAAAGAACTGTTACATTCACTCATCCTGCAAACTGCAGAAAATTATAAGCTGCTTTTTGAAACCCTTTCATAAATTATTACATTCATCAACAAACAATCACAGATTCTAATCTTAATAGATTTCCCTCAAAATCAATTCAGAATTTCTTGAGAAATGCAATGCAAAGATTTGCAAGTAGCAAGATCTGAGTGGCGAACATGTTGACAAGGAGGAAGGATACTCTTTCTCTCATTGCTGACCTTAGCAACAGCAGACTGTTGATTCAATGAGTCACCTCCATCAGATCTAACCACAGATATGCCTTTTCTCAATGATATTGCCCTTACACCTCAGCAATTGAACTTAATATTATCAAAAAATGTTTACTCATTTGCCCAAAGTAAAAAAAAAGTATATTAATAAAAATAATAATGGGGCACATCTGGTAAAAAAAAAAGAAAGAAACGCAGAGTATGACATTACTACAAGAAGAAATGTTGATTATTGCTCAGTAGAGGTATCTCAAATAGCTAACAAAAGGAAAAGACCTTTTTTTTTCTTCCAGGCAATCCCAACATCAGTACTGGCTGTACATGCCTGTCACTTGCAAACTCTGCATCACATGACCAGCCAGTGCCAGTGGATGTGAATATTTATGTTTTCAGACACACACATGCTGCTTTCCCATAGCAGATGTTTGAATCCAAGCTCCAGCAGGCTGTGTGCTGTGATCCCACCTAGTTTGACACACACAACAGTCTTGCCGTCTATTCTCACCCCGAGTGTCAAAAAGTAGAGCTCAAGCCAAGACACAGGGACGATGACCATTTGTCAAATATGTATGGGAACCCCTATTTCTTCTTTTAATCCTCTTCCAACTGTGTGCTTGACAAACCACGCACTGGGGAAATCTACACCAGCGACCACATCATGTGATAATTACTCCTCAATGCATCACAGCCTACGACGACACCTATTACCTTGGTTTTGGAGGGTGTCAAAGGAAACTTAGGAAGACATTAAACAGTGTCTGAATAACACAAAAAAACTAAACCGAGCACAGTAGTTTACTCAATATAGATTGACACATAAATAAGCTCACTCCAAATCATCATAACTTCCTCATATTCATTCATTTAGAGGTTAATGTTTGTAACTCCCTGTCTGCATCTACACTTTGTTGTCTTTTTCTCACCATGAGTGGACACACACACACACACGGACACACACGGACACACACACACACAAAGTGCTTGAATAACACCTTGCTGTAAACAGCTGAGGTGGGCTTTTCGACGTGATTACAGCAAACAATGGTTATCAATTGATTGTAAACACAACCAAAAAAAGAAACCTCTTCATACTTAGTCACTTTAGCAAGCGCATTCATTCATCCACTGTCGTTTAATTGACGTCTGTGTGTGAGTGTTAACATGGCTATCTAGTGTCAGGCTGGTTATTATTTTATTTTTTTTAAAGATGGTGCTTCACGTTACCCATCTTAAATGAATATCCCAAAAAAAAACACTGACTGAAAGTGATTTTAAAGTCATCTTTAAAATGCTCACCTGGGCCTTCTGTCTGCAGCCCGTGAGGAGAATCCTTCCCAAGTAGTTCCTGTAGAAAGCAGATGGCAGTAATGATCAGAGCCGTGGCTGTGCAGTGGACTGAAAGCTAACAATAGCTAGCTCACGGCATTAGCTCGCTTCCCTCCGGTGAGTATAATTAGCCACCTACAGCACCCTAGCTGTGTTAGCCCGCTAAAGCTAGCCTTTTCTTTACAGTGACCATTAGGAGCACAACAACAACAACAACGACGACGAGCAAAAAAAAAAAACCTCGCGTTTATTATCAAACTTGCAAGATAACAACTGAGCGTATCTTATTTGTAAGACGAGCAGCGTTGTAAAACCACCACCTCCACTGTCAGGTTTGCAAAGAGCAGAAGCAGCTAGCAGTGCTACCTCGTATGACTTACCAATGCTAGTAGATGTAATGGTGCTGCTGCTAGCTTGAGTTGGTTTCACCCGCGACCCTGACTGTCAAAATAGCGCCGCGTGAGGGTAGAGCGGCATGCACGTAAATGATTTATATAGAAGAAGAAGAAGAAGAAGAAGAAGAAGAAGTGCCGAGGAGCAAGGCAGTCGACTCCCCTGACAGAGGGGGAAGGGGGGGGGGGGTTACAGCTTAAAGCCCAGCAAAACGCCAAAGAATAAAAATGACACAAATTAAAGAAAAAAAGAAACAAAACGCTATTCCCCCTTCTTCTCGGCTCCGTGCTTCTGTGTGTGTGAGTGTGTGTGTGTGTGTGTGTGTATATGTCAGCGTCACTTTTTTTTTTCTTCCCCTCACTTGAGAGTTTACGTCAGCGGCGTGCCAAGCAGCCACAGGGAGACGTCCAGGATACGGCAAAACTTGTTCAATGTAGACAAATATACAAACTTAATCCTTTTTTTTTTTTTATCTGTTTATTTGTTTTAGTTTTATTTATTGAGCTGTGTCTATAGGTTTTATTTTGTGTGCATATATGTGTGTATGGGTATATATATATATATATATATGTGTGTGTGTGTGTGTGTACATGCATATCATAATTTCATTCAGTAAATTTGTCTTTGTTTTAAATTTTATGTATATTTTTCCTCATCAAGGCAACGGCGATCTGTAAATAGTTTGTATGTTTGATGATGCTGTCTTTGGTTTCTGTCATTGAAGCTCATGTGTTTAAGCATCTTGTGTAAAATTTAAATCAAAAAGTTGATCACAAAAAATAAAAAACTTAAATCCTAACCCACATTTACCATATCCATTATTTTATAGGCTCTATGTTTGTTCCAGCATGCTCACTCTAACAATGCTTTTTTAAATGAGTGTCACCTTTATTTATTTATTTATTTTAAATAAATGATGCATGTTCATGAGTTATTGGCCTTTGGGTTTAGTGACCAAAATGTTCTTCTTTATCTGCGCTGTATACGTTTACATTTTCCACATTAACTCAAGGCACCAGTGGATAATACCACAGACTTGTCAATTAGTCTGTTGTAGTTCCTAGTATTCTCCGTATGTCGGCAGTCAAGCACTTCTTTGCAGTTGTGAAATCTTGTGGTTCAATTTTATGTTTAACCCTTAGCCAATACAACAACCACACAAACAGATCGAACACTTTATGGACAATTCATGCTGTGATAGAGCACTTTTCAACACATTATGGGCCTACAGAATTAGGTGTTTAGCTTTGTCAATCTCATTTTCTCAGGGTCCAAAACATCCTACCCAAGTTTGTGGGATAAATGGATTAAAATGATAATTTCTTATTAGCAACCACCTTCAACATATGAACAACATTGTACGTTTACACAACTGACGTTTTCCAAAGTTAGCTTTCTTGACCCTCTATAACCACACGAAGAATCATAGTGTTGCAAGAATAACAATGCAGATATTATTGTAGGTAGCCATTAAGGTCTCTTTATTTGGACATCTGTACAGTAAGGGCAGTAACTCATGTAGCCTACTGCGTTGTACTGTCGTTGAGTTTTTTACATTTTCGGATATATTTGGATTAATAATTTAACAGATTTAGATAAAAGGCGTCAAAATGCTACAATGCTAGATCATTTTAGATTAAGAGCTTTACATTTCTTCACTATCAAATGAATTAAGTAGCCTAGTTTTACCTTAGGCTGCATCTTTTTTTGATAACCTGCATAATCCAAATCTTTAAGAGTAATACAAATCTGAAATGAACCATTCTGCCTAAATGTCATTTATATTTCTGTTTTTGTGACTTTAATTTGATGCTCATTCTTTTGTACTTTCATCTACGTCTCTTAACCTACTTCAGCATACCTACATTTTGTGATGCAGATATTGTGACAGAGTATGTCTACACTCTGCTGGACTTACTTTCCCTTCAGTAATTTACAGAAGTTGGTGAATTGTCCCACCTCTGGTCCATTAAGCAACCAGTCCAGTCCAGGAGATTAACGGTGCTGAAAAAGGCTTCTTTAAAAAAATCAGTGGTACACTTTACAAGTAGCCTATGGTCTAAGTAGGATTTAATTTAATGGTAAGAGAGTGAGTCAGTCTTCGTCTTTTCTCTCACAAAGACACTCGATGCATCATTTCTACTGCATGATATTTTGCCACCTTGCAGGTAACATGACGGAACGTGTTCTTAAATACCACTCTGCACTTCCCCCCTCATAGCCGCGAGCAGTTTTACACACTTTCAACTACAGTACAATTGCTCGGTGGGTATGAGCAGTCTGGATCTGGGTAAAAGGGCACTGCATTTCAACTTTGATCGGGAAGAGTGACGGCAGGTTTGCGTGTCCTACGCAGCTGGCATGGAGCGGACGAGGAAAACTACCTGTGTTGCGCGTGTCGACTTCGTTGCGTATACTTTATCCATGTCTGTATCAAAACCAATCTTATCTACGTTGACGTTGTTGATGCAAAGCAGCGTCTCAGGTCCTTTTCTAGATGTGTCATTAAAATGAGTTTGATTCATTGATTTGAATTTCCGTGTCTGTGGTTGTAAGCCAAACCCTGAGAGTGGGTGCGTGTTTTTCGTGTGTAGTTTGAGTGCGTGTGTTGTGTGACAGACAGATGCCAGTAATTTCTCGGTGCCCCGATGCGCTCATTGGTGCGTCCCTCCAACGTGTCACCAGTTTTGGTGGATTACCCCAGATATCTTCAACCATCAGGAGGGTGCAACTTCACTCTTTTCTCTCAACTCCTCGCAGTGTCCAGCTGCCAGCGAGACATTCTGACAACATTTGGGAACTTGTGACTTCAAAAAATAACAACTCAGGGAAAGCTATTAGATTCATTTTATTTGTTCTTTTTACGCACGCAGAATAAAAATGCATTTATTTACTTCAGAGTCCAAGATGACGCCGTCTTTCTCAGTCCCTGCCTTTCTGTTTTTGGTACCCTTTTTGTTGAAGGGTCTCTGCGTCAGAGGCTCTCCAGGTTGCGCGTCTTGCGGCTTGTCTGCGATGGAGAAAGACGCAGAGGAAATGCTGCTGATAGAAATCGCAAAGCAACAACTTTTGGACAAGCTGCACCTGAAAGAGAGACCAAATATCAGTCAGACAGTGCCCCGGGAGGCGCTCCTCACTGCGCTGCGCAAACTGCACTCGGGGCGCGTCAGACAGGATGGGACTCTTGAGCTAGAGAACAATATACCTACCAAAGATCAAGGCTATGAAATAGTGAGCTTTGCTGATATAGGTAAGTTTGATATCCATCTCATACACTGTAAAGCTGTGTTTTTGTATTCTGTCTGCTAATAAAACACCAAATGCGCGCATTGTGTGATCGCTTTACGCGTGCCAGTGCGTAAAATGGACACAAACTAGGTCAGAGTTTCAGTGTAAGCTTTAAGCTTCTGTGGGTTTTTGTCGTCCTGTTTCATCTAACGTTATAAAACTTAAAGATTCAAATTTCTGTCGAAAATATTTTCAGATTTAATCTTCAGTGTTAAATATGCTTTGTTGCAATCTCTAATTGATTTCTAAAGTGATGTATAAAATTGCTTAAAGTAGGTGGGAAACATTGACTTGTCTTTTATTTGCCCTGAGTCTTGCTTGTTTAACACATCTGATACTATCTGAAGTTCCAGAATATTAATTAATAGTAATTGTTTTGCTCTATAGATGATATGGGGAGTGGTGATGGAGCTGGTCTTAGTCTTACCTTCCAGTTCCTGCAGGAACGTGGCCAGAGTATCCAGGTCCTCCAGTCTTCTCTGTGGATCTACGCCCGCTCCTCCGGGGACCCTAACCGAGATTCCCGCCTCCCTGCCAGGGTTTTCCTCACCGCAGAGGGGGGGGCATATGGCTCTAACCGCACCCTGGTGATAGAAAAAATGCTGGAGGTCCAGGAGAGTAACTGGCACACCTTCCCTATCACCCGCACCCTGCAAACCTTCCTGGATGGAGGCCAGCATCGTCTACGTCTGGAGGTCAGCTGTGATGAGGATGGGAAGAACCTCTGCTCCCTTGACAGCTCTGCTGACAGCCTCCACCAGCCCTTCATGGTGGCCCAGGTGCATCTCCGTGAAGACCGCTCCAAGCACTTACTCAGGAAGCGCTCACTGCGCTGTGGGGACGATGTCACCGTGTGCTGTAAGAGAGACTTCTACATCAAGTTCAAAGATATCCAGTGGCATGACTGGATCATTGCACCTGAAGGCTATCACATGAACTACTGCATGGGTCAGTGCCCTCAACACCTGTCTGGCTCACCTGGTATGGCATCCTCGTTCCATGCCACTGTCTTCAGCCAGCTGAAAGTCAACGGCATTAACACGGCTACATCTTCATGTTGTGTTCCCACTGAGCGTCGGCCTCTCTCCATGGTTTACTTCGACTCGCAGCACAGCATTGTCAAAAGGGACGTCGCTGATATGATAGTGGAGTCCTGCGGATGCACATAAAGGACAGAGTCTTAAAGACATGATATATTTAACATTGATTTGTTTTAACATATAAACAACTTTGAAGCTTTATTTCTCTATTGCAAAGACAGGAAGTAGAAACTCTCATGAACAGAAAAATTTATATCAAAGTTTTCTTTGTGGGGTAAAATGACATCAGGGAAATAGTGCACTTGAAGAAAAAGAGATTTTTATAGAATAAGCCAAAACTATGGCGCTCAGGAATATTATAGTGAACAATAATACACATTTAGAAAGTTTATATATCTAGAATCTTTTAAGCTATATTTAATATAGTTTGTCACATATTATAATTTTAAATAATATCTAAAAATATTTTTTATATGCAGTATGTAAATCAATATTGAGTGCCTAGAACCGAATGAAATGAGTAAGAATATACAATATAATGAGATCGTAAACTCGGTGAGAATATACACAGATGTATAATGAAGCATATGTCAGAGGTATTAATTAAAGAGAGGGCAGAAACTAACTAACCATAACCTATGGCAGATTCAATACAGATACAAAAAGAGTGACTATAAATGTCCAACTTTTTCACAACAAGATCAGGCCATGGATCTGGCCGATTGAAGTCTCACTATTCTTCCTTTTTTTTAAGATTTATTTTTGGGCTTTTTATGCCTTTATTGTAGTGATGGGATAGTGGATAGAGTCGGAAATCAGGGAGAGACAGAGGCGGGAAAGGAGCCACAGGTCGGATTTGAACCCTGGCCGCCCGCTTGGAGGACTAAAGCCTCCGTACATGGGGCGCACGCAAGTCACACTATTATAAATTAAAACATTTCTAGTGGTCACACAATAACCGCAAAGAGATTATAGTCTGAAGCCTTTACTGTTGTGGAAAGTTAAGGGATGTTTTTTTGTTTTCGTGTTATTTATTTTGTATTTCAAACTTTTTGAAAGTATTCAGTTCGAAGTGAAATGTTTTCTCTTTCTCGGGAAAATTGGGCAGAACTCAAAACACTTTTAGCTCTAAAGTGATTTTTGTAATAGTCACAGTGTCCACGTGCAATATATACACTTGAACTTCTTTAGTTTGAATACATTTATAGTTTGAATACGTCTTTATTTGAATGGCTTACCTGCACCTTTTTCGTAGCCTAACTAAATGCTGCCATTTTAATGCAAGACTTTGAAAGCAATGAAAGAGATCTTTGATTTAAAGTGTGCCTTCTTCCTTAACTCATATTGACAAAGTGCAACTTGTGACATTGAGTGATAATCCATTGTGGTGTGAATACCAAAGACTATGTATCACTATATCACTTCTAATTGTTTTTTCTTATGTGGTTAATTGTGTATTTTTATGTGGACCTGTGACACAGTATTCATAATGACTATTATTTGTATTCTGAAAGTGTGACTTTCTAAATAACATCAACTTGGAAGATGTAAGTCGCAGTTTTATGACAGTGAACTTAAACACAGATAAGAGGTAATATCTGCCGAGTTCTGTTCTGCAGGTTTTAAAAAAATGCTTGATCAGCATCTCCACTGTAATATTTACCAAAGTCGGCTAATCAGTTGAGTAACGGAGGCTCTGACAGTATTTGAACCCCAGGTCATTTTTTTAGCAACGTGAGTAAACTATTGCTTCAGTGTCAGGTAATGTGAAGGTCTGTGAGGCAGCTAGGTCACTGAGCATGTGCTATTGCACGTTGGCTTTTATATCCAATTTGAAAGTTTTCCAGGATAATGTCAAATTAGGAATTTCCTGCTAAAGGCAATCTGGGAATCTATTTGTCTGATTTGAAAATGTCTTCCTACAATGACCTTTTTTTAAACAGCATGAAAACAATGGAAGCTCACAAAGTAAAGAAGTGTGGTAATGTTTAAGACACATTTTACAAGGTTTTTCAAAACTGAAACTGGCAGCAAAGTTTCAAAGTTAATCTGTCAGGAAAGGGCATCGTGTGAATTGATGTTTGGGAAAATATTGTGGATGAACAACATTGTCCTTTTTGCCAGCTTTAAAGGTATTACAATGCTGTATGAAATAAGTTCCTATAATTTGTGACACTGGCCATGCCTTTTCTCTGGATGTCTGGATGATGCTTGAGTGGGATGTCCTTACTATGTTGGTGAACTTTATGAAGAATCTGCATCTTCCTTCCATTATAAACAGGAGAACATTTTTCTGGTGATAATTTCAGAAACGTCCTTAAATATTTCTAAAAAATATTTAGCAAACTTGTTCCATCACTCTCTGTTGCCTCTCAAAGCTGCACTTGTACTGTTTCTTCAGACTTCAAACCAGTGTAATACCATTTGAATGATAGTTTTTTGTTCAGAATTTGATCTTTTAAGCACCATTGTGTCACCAATGTGACATTGAGATGCGTTTGAAACTTACTTAGCACTTTATCATCCTACTGTATTTTTAGAGCAGATTTTTTTTTGCTTGAAGGTTCTACCACTTATAACTCAAGTAAGCATTAACAAAAGATGGAAATAGGCTTACAGAAATCAAACTTTAATCAGTCTATTTTCTTCAGCTCTAGTTGGGTTTAGTAGTGTGGAACTGTGTGTGTTTGCGGAGCATAAACATGATGCAAGATTCTTCTGCATACTGTAACTGGTGGAAATGCAGCCAGGTTTTTGTGTCAATTGACAATTATTGTTTTTATTTTTATACAATACTATATTTTCTGCATACCAAATGGGTTTTAAAGCAATTAAATATAATGTGATGCAATTATATAATTGCTGTATATTTTTAATAAATAAATATTTGAACTGTCTTCTTTTGGCCTTGATATTTTTTGAATGATTGTAACCCTTCTCTTTAACCAATTACTAATTATAAGTACTGGCTGATACAACTTTTTGGTTTTAAATTAGCATTATGTTTTATTTAGAAATTATGACTGATACTTGTCAAATATTTTCACAATGCATTGTTTGTAGCACAAGTGCATAAAGAATAAAACATTGGTAAAGTCAAGGATAGACCCCCTGAAGCAGTTTTCATATTTAAGCTTGCATGCTAAAAAAAAAAAAGGTTACCGGTCATGTTATCACTGTCTGTGAGGCAAAGTGTGTGTTTGCTCATTCAAACAGTAGAAGTGGCTTTATGGACCGTCTGTGTTTGGTGTGCAAACAGATGTTGCATTCCCCTGGCATGTTGTCATTTTTACATCATAGGCTTGCATCTTTTATCACTATCTAAAGCTCAGACAAAAGTATAGACGTAAAAGAGTCATCTTATGAATACACAATAGGCATTTCAAGTTTCAGTATTACAACTATATCAAATGTAACCAATGCCAAAACTAGGGATAATGTATCTGCGCTGCAATGTTATTATATCAATACAGTAGCACTCAACCACAAATTCATTTATGTGTACAAACTCAACTATAGACTATAACCACGGTCCCATGTTTAAACCATTTATCACTGAGTGTTCTAAAGATCAATTGCGAAAATCCCAACTTGCCCTTTCTAAATAAACAGAATATCGATATAAAATGTTATTTGTGCCAAAATTTGTTAACTCCCCTCCTGCAGCAGCCAACAGTGGTTCTGCTGTTAGACCATTAAAATGGACTATAATCATCGTCTAAGGGTAGTCTGGAAAACATGTTTGTTTTACATTTCAGGAATTGTTCATATATATTCCTATCAAAGTAAATTATGATCTAACATGTTAAGGTCATTGGTGATATCTACATTATTTAAGGCAAGATAGTTTTTGGCCCAACGTGGTTTTCCTTTGCTTCCAGACACTAAGAACAAACTGAAAATCATATAGTGTTGTTTCTGCTGTTGTGAGTAATACAATCAGGAAATACCAATAATTTTAAACTTTGCATATCTCTAGCCTCACCTGCTCTCATAATCTGTTTTTCAGACAGACAAACATAGAGAGAGACAGAGAGAGAGAGACAGAGAGAGAGAGAGAGAGAGAGAGAGAGCAGAGCAGAGCAGGGTATATAGACTTATTGAGGTTGACTCAGGTGTTTTGTCAACAAGCACATGCCAACAAAGATAATCAGCTGATTATGTTTAAAATCCATAATCAGGGTCAAGAGTCTACCAATAACCCAAAATATTACATTTAACACTTCAAGACAATGAATATGTACACACGTATCGGTGTGATCAAGTTAGCAGCATATGCTTAATTCATATCAGCTGCAATAACGTCAGTAAACATGTCAGTCATCATTCCTAATGTGCCGTAATCTAAGCAGGCGTACCTCTACTCTATGCATGCTAAACTCCATCTACAATTGTCCCACTAATCTCCCTGAACAGTATGCCTGTCAAAGTTTCCTCTTGTCTACTCTCGATGAATCAATAGGAAGAATGTGCGCTTTTGATGGTTGTAGATGAACAGCGAGTAAATGATGCATAAAAACAATGAAGGAATTTGGGAAGTAATCACTGTAAGAGAGCATTTAGTGTTTTTGCACACCACAGTCAATCTTATCAGTACAGTACATCTTGAAGACTCACAATAAAAAAGTATGTATCAGTAGAAAACATGCCTATCAAACAGTGGTGTGAGAAACCCACTTTTTTTTTTTTTTTTTTTTTTTAGAAATAATCCAATTAGGTTTAATATGATCTAAGAATTTAGCACCCCCTTCTGGGTTGACAGTGAACTGGTCTCAAAATGAATAACTGTCTTCATAGCTTTGCCTTTTTCTTGAAATAAGACGAGTGCCAAACAAAATAACGGTTATGGACGAGTATGTGGTGCGTAAAGCCCTAAACAGTGGTGGAGAAACAAAAAACAAATAGTAAATTGGAAACTATCTAATGAATATTGGATTCTTAATTAAGCTAAATGCTTAACTTTGTTTTCACCAGCTACACAAGTTACCATCAGTCGTAAAATTTATGAATAACTCTGATAGAAATGCTCCCAAGTCCCAGGCAAAGCACAAAGCACATTCAGGTGTAGCTTTTGGTAAATCAAAGGCTAATTTGACCCCACAATGTCTGATTCATCATTCAGCTCTGTTACATGTTTATCTTCAAAAATCCCTAAAATTGCCAACTTGGAAGATTTTGACAAGTTTCATAACAGCAGCATTTATTTTGTGTGTTGTAGAATTTGGCTTCAGTGGCAGATAACAAACTATGTGTCAGGTAACACACCAATGGAAGAGCACCAATAAACAGACTGGCCAGACTGTATAGCTGATGTGAGAATATCTAGAGCTGAACTTGTTGGGCAAGAAACGTATTAGTTAGAGTGGCTGTAATTTGAGACACACTCTGGTTAGGATGTATCTGGATAAGAAATGAGGCCCTCTAAGGATGCAACTCTTGAACAGTAAAACAGAATTGCATGGATGTTATGTAGTTTTATAAACAATATCAAATGTCAAGAAAAAAATCCCAGAAATTCAATATGTTTGTCCAGTAACTATGTAAATAATGGACTTAATATGTTTCCTACACTTTCCCAAATTTACCTCCATTGTACTTGAGTGGCAGCAGTTGTTTTAACTGGACATATTCTGAAAATACTAGGGCAAATTACACCATGACTATATCGCTATTTCAGTTCCTCAAAGGTTAGATGGGTGAATATATGTTTTGTGATTTGGATGAAGTGTTGTTTCCACCAACCTCCGCTGACTGGTACCTGCTGGAGTAATATTGCTTTGGCATTTATTGCAGCTTGCAATGTCTGGTTCAAAGACATTCGATACTGGCTGTAGATATGGAAAAAATGTGCTTACAAACATATGTAGGTCCAGCAATTATGAATGTCTAAGACTGAAAGATGAAATATTGTAAGGCTGCTCATTGAGATGGAAGGCACACTCACAGCTACATGTGAGTAAATTAAGAAATAATTAGATGATAGATTAACAATGGAAATGCATATTTTCTCTATAAAAATAGAAGCCTTTGTCTGTTGTTTTCATTAGAAGAACCTGAGTAGAAATGGAGTGTGATCGTTTCAGAGCATGAGCCTGGGTACAGTTTGGTGTTAACGTGCAATTGGGTGACAACTCTTTGACACCAGGAAGTAATGGCGTTGGCCCCACAAATGGAAAGCAGATAGCTGACCTACTCTGGGAAAAATAAAAGCCTACTGACTCACTGATACACTAACACACTGACCCGTAGACCCACTGTTTGTTGTGTGCGGCGAAACCCTAATCCCTCTCTCCACTCACAATCCCACAAATCCCATGGGAGGTTTAAGGTGTCAGTCAGACTTGTCCCCTGTGTCATGACAGGACAACCTGAGAAGAAACTGCTCTCACACTCTCTCTTTTCCCTTCTAGTCCTCAGGTAATCCCTCCATAACAGTGTTATTTAACAGTTAAGTTTAGTGTTACAAATACAAATCATGATGTAATGAATTATTGCACACAAAATATATCCTGTTTATATCTATAAATATGGGGGGAAACTCCCTTGAGCCTTGTTTTCCTTTCAAAAGTACAACTACTAGACTCACTATTGACTTAGTAAGATAAATCTAAATTTTAATAAAGCATAAACAGAGAATTTCTTCAATGTATCAGTCTTACATGTAGGCAAGTAAACTAACTGACACAATTGTACTTGTACAGTATGTTGATTGATGACCTATTTCTACCAAGACATCTCTACAATAGAAGCCTCTTGTGTGCTAAAGTAAATGTTGCTATTTAGTTTAAATGTATATACTATGTCAGGGATGTTTATTTTTACCTATAAATTAATGTTATAGATATATATTCTATAGTTTTAAGTCCTAAGATATATTTTTACAACCGTCAAAAGGATGGGGAAAAAAACAAATGCGTAATGTAATAGTGAATTGTTTACTCATAATAATCAAAGAAGACATATATTTTACTGGTGTGAATACAGCTGACCTCACTTTTTATTCATGTGCTATTTGTCCACATCCTTTGAACACTTCCAGAGCGCCAACGTCTGTAGTAAAGTCTGCATTCTTGGTCCAATGTACGAGGCACTCCAAATAACTTTTAAATCCACAGGATGATCCCATTACGACAGAACCACTTACCTGTTATGTCTCTGTGTGTTACATCAGAAGTAACTCCTTACAGAACAACATCCGGCACTCTCAATGTGAACTCAGGTACAGCTTTACTTTCTACATGGCGTACGCTGTTAACGAGGTCAGTTGGTTACCGTAGTCCTCTCTAGATAAATGAAGTTGTAAACTGAGGAAAATGAAATAAGGAATAAGTACCATAGTTGGAATTATTAATGATGAATCCCTACCTATATATAAGGGAAAATGTACTGACTTTTTGTTCACCAAATGTCAAATATGACTTGTAGAAAACACCAAAAAAACCAGTAGGATCAAATCACGGAGCATCATGTATACAATATACAATGTTTTATTTATAAAGAATATGAGGAGCATTTTGTGTAAATCAAGGGAGTTATAGTCAGTTAGTTTTTTGTTTATTAAATACTAGAATAGAAAAATAATTTTTATTTAATCTCCTAAAATAAAGAAATCCCACAGTGAAAATTAACTTTTGATGATGTGATATTTGTCTTCATCAAATTATTTCTAAATGCCTAAATAATATGGATATTTTCCTTTGATTAAAAAAAAATGTTTTTGTAGATTGTCTATGGCTCTGAGCAGTCGTAACTACAAATACTGGTAAACTGCCAATGTGTACAGAACTATTCACTAGATTCAAAGTTCTCAGTATTGGCCACTTGGTGGCGTTGTTTGAGTAATAAGCTTGGGGATCAATTATTCAGTTTTACTACAGGGAAAAATCCCATTAAATCAACTCCTGCTTTTTCAGATTGACTTTTTTTTTAGATTTATTTTTGGAATCAGTGCCTTGCTCAAGGGCACCTTGGCAGTGCTCAGGAAGTTATCTGCTACCTCTCCAGCTACCAGACCAACGTCCGGATTTGATCCGCACCGGGACTTGAACCTGTGACCCTCCGGTTCCCAGCCCAAATCCCTACAGACCCCAACTCAAACACTTTCAAAGTCCCGGATAGTCCCCAAATGAACACCAGTAGAACAAATGCTTGAGGTGAGGGGTTTAGGGGATAGCACACTGAAGGGAATTTCATATTTTGCAAGTGTACACATTTCATTCAATTCAACATATGAGAGGAATAAACTTGAATGTCATGTGAGTTAAAAGTATTAAAATACATCATCCCATACTATGGCAAATATTTATCTGAAGTGTCATATACACCAAATCAGCATCTTACTCCTCACAATTCTCAAACAGTAAGCAAAGAGAGAGCTTAACATATACTACTGTATTAGTGACTTTGGTTATGGTAATTTACAGTTTGGTCAGCAGGGGGCCCTAGACAGCTAGGATAAAGGCATCAGAGAAAACTGCTAGCAATAAAGTTAAAGAAAAAAAGCTATAGTTTTGGTCTTCAAATGCTTAGTATGACCAGCATTGGGTGACTGGACTATAACTTCTTCCACTGACCGCCTATCATTTCATGTAAAGTTGTAACAATGGTGTTGTTAGCCTGGGACCATAATTCAAATGTATTCTAACCGCTTTGCTGAGCAGAAATACTACAAGTATATGGTTCTACTAATTTTTGCAAGTCCTGGAACTAAAAATCTACTTGGGGCATGATCTTAAATTCTAACAAGAGACCACTACAGTCATAAGCACAAGCATATTCCTTATCAGCAGACCTACTCCAGCAACTGTTCTTGTAGTTTGACTGTATACAAGTAATCATGGCAAGACAAACTCAGACTTTTTATTTTAGCATGGTCACTTTTTGGTGGTCAAGATCACGTTTTTTTAAAAGTGCCCTATTGTTGAAAAAGAATGTAAGTGGACTGAAGGCAGGGAGAGAAGTTTGCTGGATCAACAGAGGAGAATCAAGAGGTTCTGATGGTGTCTGTGTAAATATTTGCACTTTAAGTTCACAACCCTGTGTCAATAATCAATGTCAAAAGTTGAGTGGTGAGGTAGATATTCGGAGCAGGTTTAGTGTCAAAGACCGCCAATACCCCATTGTACCCGAGTAGAACTAAGCTATTTTCTGGGACTGAGAACCTTAAGTTAAGGGGCAGAAGCACAAAAAAATGCTTCTTTTGGCTTATTGAAAGGGTCCCCAACCTTAAGCTTCTACTTGAGCCGTTTGATCAAACAACTAAATTCAAATAATTGAGAATTTCGAGTACTTGCCTACTCTAGCAAAGAAAAAAAACAACCAAATAAACAGCCTGAAATTAGTGCAGGTACTTGGAGTGCTTGGTAGGCTATAAACCCAAGGCAAGTAACAATTGGTGCCTGAGTCAGTTGTATAGACATATCAAGACTTGCACGTTATAAATGCCCAACAGCAATAGTACACAGCAGGCATCTAGGGTACTTTAACCTATGAGCTATGTGATTGCAACACGACACCCAGTTTCAAGAGACAGTCCCACCCTGTAGGTAATCTTTGGCACCTAGGGGTCTAATAAAATGACACGACAACTGATACATTACTGATAAAAAGCTAGACAAAAACATGAGTTGGCAACCGATTTATGGTGGTTCAGAAGTATGCTATGATCAAACAAGGTGCTTACTTTGGGCTAACAGCAGGATCTCTTTACTATGACTTAGGCGTTCGGTACATTCACCACTTATAATTGATGGGAATTCTGATCAAATAAATAAAAAATGCCACACAAAAAAAAAAGCACAGCTGACAAATGTGCATCTTCCTTGCTTGTTAATTGAGAGACAAGAAACAGTCCAGATATGTTTACAATCCCACCAGAATTTGAGTTATTCTGTGACCACCTGTGACAATTTGATAAAGGAACATACCTTGTTTGATCGTCCCTCATGGCGAAAAGAAGCATTGGTTTTTCTTCATGGTGTGTAAACAAAGGACAAGTGGTACAAGTGGGTGGAACCTTGGGCAAGTGCTTCGGAAACTTCCACCAATTTTGACCTGGTTCAGTTTTGATCCTGTAAAAGTAACAAACAAAGAGAACATATAAAGGCATTTCAAAACACATTCAGGATGTATCCAACAGCCCACATAGCCTTGCAAGGCTTGGCAAAATAACGGTATGCCTGAATTGTCAAAAATACACTGGTTCAATTCCAATGGAAATACTCTATGTTCAACATAATCCAAGTACTTGAAAGAGTTCTCATGTAGTCAAAACTAAGCCAGCCATCATCCCCAGAAACTGGCAAAACAGTATGTATTTGAATTGATGAGGTTGAGTTTGAGCATTTCAGAACCCCCTCAGGTGTGCCAATGATCAACAAGATTCATCAACTACTTTGTGAGACATGCTCTAGGTCAAGTTACTCTTTTTGAAGAGGCAGCATCCTATATACTTTACAAATTGGGCAGAACTTACAGGCTTAGTAGCTTGAAGAAATGCTTGAAAATCAATGAGCATTTTTGCAATATGGCCCAAAGAGTCACATTGCAACAAGGTTCAGTTATCTATTCACACATCCATCCCTCTCAGCTGCAAATTATCTAACTCTATGGGTACAGAACATGCAGACGTGGAGAACATGATGAAAGAATAAACTAAATAATAGAAGATATAAATGTAAACCGGTAATCATCTTCAACGGTATTAACAGAGGAGCTACAGAGGCGAGATGGGATCAGCTTTGCCATCGGGAGAGCACAGTGCTGTGTGTGTATGTGAAGCTCCCTCTGTGCCGTGCTTCCACAAAGCCAAGACGCAATGTGAATTCACAAACTTGGACACCAATATTACGCTGTCGCAGAATCAATATGAATGTACAAAGATGTCAGGAGTTTAGTTACAGCACTTGCAAAAAGTCTGTGATGAACATGATTCTTTTCTAGCCTTTTGACTTTTCTTGTTTGACCAATCAACAAGCACTCTTGTCCAGGACTAAAGGGCTGCAGTGCTAATCAAGTGTTTGACTTTCTGTGGGCTCTTGACAATCTCCTATGCTACAACCACTTCTCACAAAAATGAGTTTAAGCTCCTGTGAGGAACTTAAGGTTCACAGTGATTTTTTTGCGCTCCCTGTGGACAAGTGATACGTATAATCTCGTTTGCTGATCCTGTTCAGTACGTATGTAAATCGTGTTTTCTGATGAAAAATCTTTATCTGTTGCAGATTGCAACTAACTGATAACCACTGACTTCATGCTCTCTTTCTAACCAGGCGGGCGAACCAACAATGACCACGATACAATGCCCACACAAAAAAATAGCAAAAAAATGAAAAATAACTAATGTTTTGTTTGTTCATGCTACTGTAGAAAAATAGCTGAACTGGGGAAGAGGACTGCTGCTTCTGTAGACAAAAGGGGCTAAGTTTAAGGTAATAAAAACACAATGTTTTCTTTAATATGATAATATACATTTTTTTTCTTTCATTAGATCCATTGTAGATACATTGTAGAGCTTGGTCCTTTAAGTTAGTATATATGGCTCCTTTACACAGGAAGAAGATAATAGAATAGGATGAATATTAATAGCAATTCAGACTGATGTTTTGGGACTACCTACATAAATCCAATATGCACTCACGTTTGAGCTCAGTCTTCCAAATGCTTGGACTTCAAATGCTCATGAGGGAAATATCTTTGTGCCAGTCAGTAATGTTGCATTAAGGTATGAAAATGCCAGGATGTTGCAGCGAACTTGCACACTGATAAAAATGGTATGGTTAAATAGAAACAGAAGACAGAAAGACAGAAAGACAGAAGCTCTGCTACTATGATTTTTTTTAAACTATCATTAGAGGGAACAAAAGTCAGATTTATCCTAATTCTCAACTGGCTTTAAAATCAGTTTGATCAGAAACAAAAACATAAAAACAGTAAACTCAACTCTATGTCTAGAAAGGGACTAGAAAAAAGTCCCTGACTTCATGATATTTAGTGCAATTAAGGAGTCCTTCCTTTGGAGCCTTTAATTTTTGTGACCTAGCATACTTACAAACAGGTGGGGGCAAATTGAGTTTTACAACAAGAACAGGGACTGCTGGATTTAAAGAGTCAATGATCCAACAGGAGCTTGAATCAGCACAGCTCAGGGAATTAATGTCACAAAGTCCTTGCTGTTTCACCTTAACACTCACTCAGCTCTTACCACACACAATTTCCTATGGAGACCTAATTCTTTCAAGGAAGATAGAATCCATCCAATCAGGTTTTTTGTTACAAATGTATCAGCCAAAACATTGTGCAGAGCTCTAAGTGTTTGGTACAAATTAAATGCTTTTTATCTTTGAATATATTTATTCATATACTGTATATGTAGTTTTGGAAGATACATTCTCCTGCATGACCTTATGGTCAAAATGATAAATGATAGTCAAATTATAATGTCCACTTATTTGTTTTCAATATTTAGATGAAAACAAGCAAGAGAGCAAGTTGTTATCTTTAGCATTGTTAACGTAATTTATAGTTCTTTTTTTAATTTTTAAATTGTTGATGTGTTTTCTGTGCAATACAGTGCAATACAGGGCACTAAACAAGTGATGTTGGATAAAGTTTTGTTTTGTTCATTTTCTTATAATCAAACTAATATTAATTACATAGTGAAGCTGTTGCATTCTGTGTTCTGACTAAAGCTAGGTTCCTCACATGTGAACATAAAAACACATATTTCATTGAGTTCAACATTTTGACCAGAATTAATACAAAATTATATATATATATATATATATATATATATAAAGAGTTTGCACTGAAACTGACACATCATAACATCTGTAAACACAAAAAAAAAATGAATAGACTGTACATAAGATGAATCTGAAATAAAAACAAGAAACTTGTGACCTAGTGAAAGGATACGTGCTCATTGAAGACACCACTCATCCCACTTATGCCCCTAAGCCTTACTGACATGTTACATAACCTACCTTATGGCTCTTAGAAGCCACTGCAACCAAAACAAAGATGCCACCTTCACCAGACCCAGGCTCTGTTTATGTGAGCTAACCCGGTAGTGACAAAGCCAATACTACTATAATGATAATAATAATAATAATACTGAAGAGGAATCATCCGTCTACAGGAGAGACAAAAGAAACAGGAAATAAGGTTAAGAGGAGTTAGCGTTGGGACACTGGCAGACATAATGGTGATGAACGCTGGTTCAAGGGCCCCCCAGTGTATTTTTGCCTAGGGCCCCAACAGACTCTAGAAACACCACTGGTGGTCAGTGCGTATTGAGGCCTTGGTCCTCCAAGTTTGCGGCCCAGGTTTAAATGCCACCTGTGGCTCCTTTCCCGCATGTCATTCCCCACTCTCTCTCCATGATTTCACAACTCTATCCACTGTCCTATATTTCCATTAAAAAGGCACAAATATCCCCAAAACAAATCTAAAAAAACAAAAAACAAACCCAGGCTCCGTACATGAAAGCTCCAGGTAGTGACCACGCTGATACTTCCTACACCACCACCTGGCCCCTAATGGCCCCCCACGGACCAAATGCAACTATTCATGGTACCAACATTACACATGGAAAAGAACTGCAAAGAAAAACACAAAAGAAAATCAAAAGACACAGAGAAAGGTCTGGTGAGAGATCTTTGAAAGAGAACTGGGGAAGTACAGCCAGACTGAGGTGACCTGATCGGGGCTAGGACTCACCCTCTGCCGGTTTGGACTGTCGCTCTACCTCCTCCTACTCCATAATTTTCATGAGAGAAGAGAGGAGAGAAGATAGAAAAACGAAGGAAATAAAAGGTTTTCTCGTGTCTTTATCTTGGCCCCCAACATTCCTCCTCATCCAAATCCACTGACTGGTTTAAACTGCTTAATCTGAAATCTCCCTTACTGTCTTTTGTAAACTCTGTCCCTGCACTCCCAGCTCTCCCAGTAGAGACAACTGATCTTGCTATGAACCCTCTACATTCCACTTCTACTGGACGAACCCTAACTTTCCATCTTCGCTGTTCAGCTTCTGACCCTTAAACTGCATATCTAAGCTTTTTCCTTTTATGTTCTTCCTCCATATAGTCCTCCCGGCAAACCATCAGATCTGCTGACTTGTAGACCATAACACTATGTCAGACCTCAAGTTAGTACAAACTATTTCCTGTGGCACAACAAGATTTCCTCCCAAATCTATACCTGCATCTCCCAATCATTAGTGCTCTTTTTAAAGGCCCGACTGGTACCTGCTTAAAAATCTACCTCCTTTGAATTCCTCTCCCTCGCGGACAAACTGAACAGCTACATTCTTTTCCTGATTACATCCTGAATTCACCTGTCATCTTTTATTTCCAATTCCTGCTGCTCGGTTTTTCAACACCTGTTATTTCAACATGTATAAGACCTTGCGACGGACTAATTTTACAACCTGACAAAATGTGCTTCAACATAACTATCTCTGGACACAAGGGGCATGATGGGTCCCTGTCTACTCTATGTTTTAGGCTCTAGGGTGATGCTAGCACATTGTAAGTATTCAACTTACCTGGGAGCCCTGACTTTCCTATCCTTCATATCCCCTCTGCAACATCTTTCCTGAGCTATCTGTTCGCTATTTTTCAGGGCCCCATTACACCACCTACCCAAGTTCTTCACTGACCCTTCCCTCATAGATGGAATTTCTACCATATCTACATAAAAGCTTTTCTCGATAACCTTCCTCTGGACACTGTAATGCTTCTTGATTTAATTCATACATTGATTCCCCTGTGATATAAACAAAATAAGTTATATTAAACAATGACTTTGCCACTTCCACTAAAATAAATCTTTATATACTTACAGTTGAGATTTGTCTGCAAACGTCATCATGCTGTTTAAAGGAAAATAAACAGAAAGAACATGAGACAAGTTATATCAATAAAAACAAAAAGTCTCCATGAATCTAATATCATGAAACTATAGAATACATACACATGTGTTAAAGCTGTATTTAAGCTTCATGAGTTACTTTAATTAATCGTATGATGAACTGTGATATACACCTCTCTAATGGTGAACACTGTGTGGAGGACGGTTCAGTTCTCCTGGTGTTTTGGTTCGTCCAGTTTCCCGGCTTGTATTATGCTGCCCTCTGGTGACGGGGAAGCAAAGAAATTAGTCAATATTTTTTAACCCTTTTTCAGTGTCAGATAAATAATAAAAGACAAGTTTAACATTTGTACTGAATTTCCATTTGAAAATCAAAACATAACATTATTGGATGTATCAATGAAATGTTAAGTATATCCATGCTCTGGCTATCTTGAGCTTCATTTGGCCACAACATTTTTTAAATGTTTCTGTATGCAAAATGTCAGGACTTTCATCTGCATGCATTCATTCATTCATTCATTCATTCATGTATTTTAAGATTTCCAGACTGTACAAAATTAAGACTGAAAAATATGGCAGAAACTTCATGTGGTGTACACGGCTGTGCATTATTAATAAAAAAAAATCATGCTCATACTTTATATTATCCCTTAATTATATCCTTATTTTACTGTGTTATATATTTCATTATCAGGTATCTTTTTGTTGCTTGCATAGCTTAAAAATTATCTGTATTCAAAACTTCAAAATATTGATCTGTTCTGAACACAGTAAAGCTTTTCTTTTTTCTTATAATAGATTTTTTGTATTAAAACCCTCATTACATATTTCAAAAGAAGTAATCATAAGTTCTGAAATACCCTAACTGAGCTGATCTGGCATTTAAATTGTCTCACAGTCTGATGTACTTAATCCATTCAAATCTTTACTGTGGATTACAACGACTCGTGACTGGCCAGCATGTCGAACCTCCCTCAAGGAACTCTGTAAAACATTTCACAGTGGAAGGAAAACTATCTTTGTAATAGAACAAAGAAACACAACAAAGAAATGTTGTGCTAGGAGAACAGGAGGTCAAACCATTTCAGCTCAGTGATGGAAACTTTGTCTAAAATAAATAACGCCCCTCCATAAATAACATGAAAACTTCAGGCTACTAAACATACTGGGGTTATAAAATATGACATGTCCCATTAAATTAACTGCAACAGACATAATTGTTCAAATCTAATTGGGTTATTTGAGGTCAATAGACAGAGGGAAAAACAAAGCTGTGGGCTGTTACTTTAAGAAGTCATTATTGAGTATCACAGGGTCTAATTGTTTTGATCTGATGAACATTAAACTATTGACCATTAAAACCTTTCATTTAGAACTTCTAACTGTTCATCCCCTTATCCCCAGACAAGGCCTGATAAAAAAAAAAGTAAAGTATGTAGGCGTCTATTTGGACATATCAGAACATTGTGGCTTTACATGTAGATCTAGGCTATTTCACATATAACAAACAGTGGCAAGCACCTTACTTTTATTTTTGATTTAACTTTTATTTAACCAGGTAATTAACCCATCAAGATCAAGATCTCTTTCACAAGGGTGACCTGGCCAAGAGGGCAGCAGCACACGTCATATTAAATATTACATGATTACAACAGTTTACAAACAATAAGTTACACTATCATATCCTATATATTCATAATAAAGACATGGCATGAGTTTGTACCACATTTTAAATGTATGTAAATCATGTTAGAAGTAATTTATTGCTATTAAAAGACTTTGCTGCAAACATGTGAAATGCATTTACTTCACAATTTAAACTGAACTAGATCCTGAAAAAGCATTAAAATACAATGCTTGTAATTCAGTGGCATGCCGAATGATGCTATGTATGATGCATCTATCGCAATTAAAAAAGGAATACCTTTAATTGTATGCATGCATTAAGAAATGCTCTAACTGCGCATAACATCCCTTGATTAACAGGAATAAGTTATCCATGCAACTCTTACCTGTCCAACCTGCAGCATGCAGACCTGCTCCTCTCCTCTCCTCTCCTCCTCTCCTGCTTCCTCTCTTCAGGCCTGAGGTGAAACTTTGTGCAGGCAGTGAGCACCCTTATATGTACTATGTGCAGCACAGTCAGCCTGGGACCCCGGACCAATGGGAGGAAAACATGTGCACAGGACCATCTGCAGTGGAAAAACAAATCCTATAAAAGATTTTGTGGATTTTGCTGCACCGAGGACTGTTGTCCAGCTGCTCTGATTCTTAGTGACAGATGCTTTCTCTCCCTCTCACTTGGCTAACGTGGACGTTCCTCCGTATCCTCCAGTGGCCTTAAATACTCCAAACCTTGATACTCCTTTAACTTCCACCCTGTTTTTAAACTGTCAGCATGTGAATAAAGATTTTCTTCTACCATAATAACTACAAGCTAAGGCACTGTTTACAATCCACGTTATGTGAATAATCTGGCAAGATGTAAGCTATAAATTGTGGGAATGTCAAAGTTTGTGATAAAAGTGTATATTACTCACAGCAAACGAAGTAAAAGTGTATTTCAGAAGTGCAAGCTATCAATTAAGGGCAGTGAAAGGTTTTGATAACACGCTTAGGCCACGTTTCAGGTGATGAGCAGGTGATGACATTTGCAGCTCTCAGCTTTCATGTTCACTTTAGTGAATGGCACGGCCAAGAGCTTTCCTTCTGGCTTACTCACAACATGTTGTCTCTAATCCGTCTAGTCCTGTAAACCATCTATGAGCTTTGCAGGGAGACATCTGTAACTTTTTCTTGCTGTCCTTTTCACCTTTCCTCTCCGTGCTTCATTGAGTTTCTCATTTGCTCTTTGTACACTACCAAGCGGAGAAAACACAGCGATGTCACGGCTGGGAAAGCAAGTTGTGCTAATTGTATTGTGTAATTGATGTTTCAGTGTCATATTGCATTTGCTACAATTGATCAGTGATTAAAAACTGTAGATATCAATATTTGTTAACAATACATCAACATATTAAGTACAATAAAATAAATGGTCGGCCGTTAGAAACCAGGTTAGACGTATCATCTAGCTCTGCAGATCTCTTCATCTACACAGGCAATAATAGTCTGCTTTGGTCCATTTTATTGATTTATTTCAGGTGTTACAAAACAGTCAGTTACCCATTAGATTCTGTCCGGTCAACAAATGTTTTTGTCACAAGCTTTATCACTTCATGTTTAACATAGAGTGCCAATAGCATTTAGTCCCAGGCAATGTCAAAGATTGTATAATATGGTATTGAAGGATTAAATGGTTGACCACTTTTTGATAAGGTCCTTTTGATAAGGTCGGATTGTTGATGGACAGTCTGCCTCCACCCACCCCCTTGGTCCCTATCCCTCTTCCTGCATCTTATCCCATCTCTCCCCCTATCCCTTTCCAACCCCGGCGCAGTCTAGGCCTGTGAAGGCTGTTTCGTCATGAGCCGGGGATCCGGCCGAAGATTTCTGCCTTTTAATAAGGCAGTTTTTTCTTACCACTGTAACCTTTGCTGCTTTGCTAAAGTGCTCATGATGGATAGGCCGGGTCTTTGTAATATAACAATAAGTAAGGTCTTTTACCTGCTCTTTGTAACATAACAATGAGTAAGGTCTTTTTACCTGCTCTTTTGTAATGTTAACAGAGAAAGAGTAAGGTATTTTACCTGCTTTTTGTAAAGTGTCCTGAGATAACACTTGTTATGAGTTGACGCTATACAAAATAAATTGAATTGAATTGAATTGAATTGATAGGTTTGGGGTTAGCCCTCTGCAGACAGACCTGACCCACAACTTTATAAACACATTTACAGCTGCAGCAGGAAACTACTTTCGGCTAAATAATAACTAATCTGTACATCCCTGCCAAGCATGAAGTAAAAAGTTGGCTAAGAGGTTTGCAACGAAAGTAAAACTTATAGTAACTTCATTAAATTGTATGAAAAATGTGACGTCTGCTTTCGCTTTGCTGCCCCCAAGTGGCCAAAGGGAGCTGGTGAATAAACTTTTTTCTATGCACTACCATTAAAAGGTTTTATTTTTTTATATACATTTTTTAATAAATGATAATGAAAGTTAAACTCATTTATGTATATTTTGTGTTTTTTACCTGAATAAATGTTATTCCTAAAAAAAAAAAAAAAATTAATGGAACCATGAAACTAGGAAAAGGACATCTTACATGTCACAGTAAGACCATTATCACATGGGCTGACTGTATCTGCTGCTTCACCTTTAATCCCCCCTCATTGATAATCTGGAGTGAGGCCTGTGTTGGATTCTCTGCAGTCAGATGAAGCATATGGCTCCGACATCTGCGGGCAGACTTACATCCAAGATTCCCTTCTTGGCTTCTATGAGTAGCTATATCGGGACCAAAGCCCAAAACTCTCATTGACAAAATCTGATTTAACCACTGGCCGTATGTTCTCAATGAACTCCTGCCTCCCGCCAACTGTTCACACTCTGACACAGCTTTCATGCTTGGTAAAAGTGCTCCATAAATAAACCTTATATAAATCATTTGTTTCAAACTGCAGTGTTTGGCTGTTCTGTATTACTTTGACCCTTTTATCTGTACAGATTCGTACATTTTGAGATTTATTCCTCATCATTTGTGCCCTTAGTAGAGTTTTCTGTTTCAGAGTTTCAGTACCTTTTTCTGATTTGGTGATAACAGTACCAGTATAGGTATCACTGAAGCTTACATTTTGGTATCGGTTATCAGCGGATTGCATGAATCTAATATTATGATTTTACCAGCCTTCAAAAAAATTTGCAAATAAAAACAAAAATACTACATAGCAGAAACCTTAGCAAGCTAGCCAAATGTTAGCAATCAATGCTGTTTCAACAATAACATGTATAAATGTTGACCCCACTGTTATTTAAGTCCAGGTGTCAGATTGAGATATATGTTTTATCATGTAACAGTGTGTGACTTCAATAACTTTGTTCACAGATTGACTATAACATTAGTCAAATTAGCATTTTTGTTGCACATAGAAATGATATCATATTGAATATAATAAACTCAAATAAAAGCCCATCCCAATTTAAGGCCCAGTCCCTTTTACTAGCCAATAGCTGCTTCTATTGAGAATGCCATACTGAATTTGGTTGTACACAATAAACTCCTGTATGCCCTTATGTCTCAGTTATAAGAGCCTATATGTTAAGTGTTGAATAGTTTGGGGATCAAAAATATAACAAGGGGTCTCTCTCTCTCTCTCTCTCTCTCTCTCTCCCCCCCACAGTGCAGCAGGTTGGTAGGGGTGGGTTGTCTTACAAATCTAGATCAAATAAGTGATTTGTAATTTAAAAAATGGTATCGTCATCCTCATTTTGTGCACTTTCATCAATTCTTTCTGGTGTAAATTTACAATGTCAAAGTTGTATATGAAAACAATTCAAGTCCTGTCTGGTACTGAGGCCTGTCCCAATTAAAATCAGGTTTATTTAACAGGCTGACATACATAAAATTGAAGGCTACTAATTGAAGTGTTACGGTAATAATATGTCTTATTTATAATTCCCTGGTCATTTCAGTTTTATGAAAGCAGTTAACCCTCTCTAGCCTATATGTGAAGTGTCATATAGAATAGGCTACTTATTGATTGGTTAGCACGTGATATAATACACGTTTGACAGACCTGTTGCACTGGTCCTGCTCCTGGTCTGAAGTCCAGTCCAGGTTTTGTGGTGGATTTTGGTGTCCAGGCGCAGCAATCTGCAGCATCCCCACACGTAGCCGCAGCCACACACGCTGTCCGAGGAGCTGCTCTGAAGTTACACCAATAAAGTAAACACAAACATTTATAGATGGATTATCCCAATTACTAGACAGGGACGCACTTTATATAGACTCAACCATGACCATACAAGTATTTAATGCACATATGCATGCTGTAATGTCTTTATATAACTTCACATTGTCGCTGTAATGTGTTTGGAAACACAAAAGTAAAGGGCGAAAAAAAAACTGACAAATGTATGATTTTGGGCGGGTAATGCGTGGTGCATGTTAACTTTGGGAGAAATCTGAGGCAGCGTGGTCCTTTTTTAAGAAAAACAAAAAGTGAACTTCCTGTTTCGGGGTGGTCCACAGTCTGTGGAGAAAGGGAGGGAGGAGGGAGGAAGGGAAGGGGGTGCGCATTCCCACATTGGCTGTGTGTGCAACCAACTTCTCCAGGGCGCTTTGCGGGACTCCATAGCCGAACATGGGGTTCAGTTTTGTCACCGTTCGCGTAAAGTAACCGTGGAGAGAGAGGGGGAAAAAGGCGATGCGAGGACGCTTCTGATACAGGATAAAGTGCCGGTTTTCTGTGAAGAATCAAGTCATCTCCATCCGAGTGTGTGCGCCAGAGAGAAAGAAAAAGACAGAGACAGAAGGGAGGTTTTACTGGAAAGACTCCCCCTGAGCTCCTCCAAGGACTCTGGGAATCAAGTCAGAAAGTTTGATGCTGAATTCTGCTGCGTTAACCTGAGGTGAGTACTGCTGATGATTCATCATCGCTTTCTGAAATCACAGGCGTCCATTGATAAATGGCACAAGCTCCGTGGAAAGTTGTGTTCGGCGCTGAAAATTGCTATGATTCCCTCTGAAGTGAGAATGAAAGTTGGAATCGTGTTAGAAGTGACGTCAAAATACGTCCACTATTGGTGTTTTCTCTCCGGGTGATCATGCGTGACTTTTACGCATTATAACAATTGGCTATAATTGATTTAGGTCCACATTTGAGTAATTAAGTTGCACAATATTTCTGCAAGCGTACGACAAGCATTATTCTACAACCACTGTGATAGGCCTTTTTGTGGATTCAGTTACTTGGTTTGTCCTCTGCGTGAAATATCGTTGGCCCTGTGTGTTTTTATGTGAAGAACATTCTGGCACGAAGCAAAGTAAGCCATAGTTTATTAAGACTTAATAAAATGGTCAGTTTTCTTGCAGTTTCATCTCTAAGTGAAGTGCTTCCCTTTCTTCCTCCAAGCCCAGTTTAAAGTCATCTGGCGCAGCCCAGGGTCGCAGGGCCACCCGGGAACAGCTGTTTCTTGTAACCTGAAATACTTGAGGTGCCAATATCTTTTCCAAATGTGAGTTTCTGTGAGGACACCCACAAAAACAACATAATCTCTGACCTCCTGCTTCAGGAGTAGAAAAAACCCCCCTCTTGTGACTGATTCAGTAAATCACTGCTTTCCTTTTCTGACTTCTAATTTAGAAAAACGTGCATTCCATAATCTATCTCTAATCTGAGATGGATTAATGCATCTAATCTAATTATCTGTGTGAGAGGTGACTGTAGCTGTTAATGTGGGAAGATTAGGCTGCTGGTCATCTAGTAGTGGCTCTGGAGGACTAAAGAGCGTCAACACTAGACTCAATAGAGAAGCTAAACACTTATTTATTCCAAAGTGACAGTGAGAAGTGCTGAGCACACAAACGCACAACCTCACTAAACAGTATTTACACAGACACACATGCAGAGAGGGTATTTGTACGTCACAAAGGGCCTTTAGTGGATGTACACAAACAATAGAGAAACACAGACATGTATATGGAAAATGTTTAAGTGAATCTATAGGTTATTTACCAAATAATTACTGCATAGTCTTTAGTTTTAGCCTTTTCTACTACACAAGAGGAGACATTAAAACTTGTTCCAACTGTTGAAATCTTTATAACCTGTAGGTTTAACTTAATACTTCGAAGCACCTCACACACGCTACGACAAAACGAAAGAGCTGTATTCAAGGACAAATTCAAGTGCAGGATGGATTCAGCTTTTTGAAAATAATCCAATCCAGCAAACTAGACTCGGTCCGCTCTCAAGGTTGAGGGAGGGGAGGGGGGGGTGCACTTGTCCTTTGGCCACGTGTGAAAAGCTCTGCAGGGGAGCTTCCTCGCCCTCCCTGCTCTTTATCAGAGTGTGTTAAGGCCAAAAGGCTCCTTAATGGGGACTGCTCTTAAACAAATAGACCATACAGGAAGCAACTGTCCTTCTATCCAGGCAAAGGAGAGGGCTGGTGTGCTTTATCAGGGCCATATCAGAGCCCAGATAAGTCTCTATCAGGATGAATACAACGCACTCTAGAGGGATGATATTTTTGTCTGCATTAGTCTGCATTGTATGTTAGATATTTAAACAGAGTACATTTTAGGGCTGAAGTTGACCTGTAAGAGACGTCTGCATGTTGATAGCTTTTTTATGACATCAATGATGTGAACAACATGTCTAAATTCTGGTTGGCACAGTAACATGTCACAGGGGTACACAGAGGCAGGCAGCAACAAGTGGTGTGTTTTTGTCCAGATTCCATTTTGGTCCGCTCAGCAAGAAACATGTGTCACGTGATGCCTCCCCCCCCCCCCCCCAACAACCCTCCACCACCTCCTCCTCCTCCCCACCTTCCAGTTGGAGGGAGGTGGGGGCATAGAGGGGGCGGGGGGAAGACCACCCTCACTGGGATCACAGCCCCTCAATCAGACCCTTTCACACCCTGTGAACCTGAAACAATCAGGGTTTAATAGCAGCTGTCTGTCTGTGCCGGTCCTGGCTAAAAACCATGCAGGCCTCGCGGTGCAGAGAAGATCAGCTTGGGCTGCAGAAAGAACAGAGGAGACGGGACCGGGGATGCTCCAAAGGACACAGAAGCAAACACACACACATACACACACACACACACACACACACACACACACACACACACACACACACACACACACACACACACACACTTTCAAACGCTCCTTTTCTGTCTTTATCCCCTGCTACTCTTTTCTCTACTCGTCTTGTAGTTTTCCTCCAAAATCTTCAAGGCTCATAAAGACACTCGGATCACCGGTGTCAGGGTCTGGTATTTCAAGGTGATTTTGGTTCATCGGATTGAGTTTGGGATGTTTTCAAAATGCTGCAGGTCTTTATTCAGGTTGTGTGTGTTGTCAGTGAGTCTGGAATGAATGGGTTTTGGTTGTTGTTGTTTTTTTAAAAGCGAAACCGTATCCCATCATAGCCATCTAAAAGACACGAAAGGCCAAAATTGGGTTGATTGTTTTAACAAGTTGGTCAAAATGGAGAGGATTTCACTAAATGTACTGTCGAGAATGCTACTCCTCCTGGAATTGTTCATGTGGGAAACCATTATAATGATGCTGATTAGTAAATGAATGAAGAGATTTCACTAGAGGGCAAAAGCATTACACATTTAAGATAAGTTGAATTGCATTAGCCAAAGATTGTGCATAATAGAAAGGGGAACCATCACAGTCATGGGAAATGTTCAGAAAATCATTGTTAGGGGTCACTTGGAGCTTTCCCACACATTAGAGGGAAAATCAGACCAAATGAGGCTGAGGAGGTTCAAAAGGAAAAGATCTACAGGGACAATCAGTTCAAAGAAAAAGGAAATTGAGAGGACTGCTGTATTCCATGTAATTATTTCAGTGGATGGATTATGGGAAATAAAAGTGTTGGCTGGACGTTTCCTGATAATGCTTTTTTGGAAAAGCAGGATTCCATATATATTTATAGAGTAAACAATGAAACGACTAGTCAAACAAATAGTTGCCCAATCCATCAATTACAGAAATATTTGTTGATTGTTACTCGCTTTAATTTTAGGAGAACGTGTTTCTGTTTATTCCAAGAGGCTCATAAGTGGAGACCTGCCAACAACGAGGACACCCCTTAAAACAACCCAGAGAAAATATTTACATCGGACAGTTGTGCAACAATCCTACACGTATGTTTGTTGACAACTAAAGTGGGGTTGATGTAAGCAAAAGCTTGTGGTTAGGGGAGATAAACGCTGGCTATGGTGAGGTATGTTTAGCAAAAGAAATAAAGACTTGAAGCCAGAGATTTTGGTAATATGGTGGCAAAATGTTGATTCTCTTTTTTTCTGCCTACAATAATGCTGCAGAATGACAAAAATTATAATCATGATTTAGAGAACCTGATTTTTTAGCATATACTTTATAAAAATGTACGTAGTCTCAGTGATGTCACCTATTGGATTCTGAAGAGGTGTAATGAAGCCAACACTGGTGCATTTATGACATTCAGTTCATCTTGATTTTCTTGTTGAAATAATCATTGGAAGCCAAATTGTTCTTAAAATAAAAAGAACCTGTGGCACAGCTCTAATCATGGTCCTGGCTCAATAGCATGGCCCCCAGTACTTCCTGTATCGCCTTGAAACTTTGCCATTGAATGTAAATCATACCTGGATTGTTCTCAGTGAAACAGTGGGGGCCCTGCTGATCGTCATAAATCTCATCTTGAGCTGATCAAACCTGCATTCTCGGGTGGCTCAGGTCCCTCATGTTGGCACACTTTCAGCTGGGTTCAGCTATCAAATTGTTGCTCTGATGCTTTAATTCTAAGCATGAAAGGTGATGCCATATGTGGAGCAGCAGGAAGCATTTAAAATGATGCTGGTGGAACTTTACATGAAACATACAGTTTTTTGCTTAAGCTGGTGCCTGAAGGAACATGTGTTATATATGTGTGTGTGTGTGTGTGTGTGTAATGGATTTAAGCATCCTAATGACAGTAAGGGGCGGAGTCTATCCCGTCCCCATCATCCCTCCTAAGTCTTTGAATGAGGGTGGCGGTTTTTGAAACATTTTTGTGTGTGTGTGTGTGTGTGTGTGTGTGTGTGTGTGTGTGTGTGTGTCTGTGTGTGTGTGTGTGTGTGTGTGTGTGTGTGTGTGTGTGTGTGTGTGTGTGTGTGTGTGTGTGTGTGTGTGTGTGTACTGGCATATAAAAGCAGTATAAGGCACGCTGACTGTTAACTATCGTCTCATGTGGTTGATATTAGAAATGAAACTAGTGCTAATAGGACCCAGGTGAGGGTGTAAATAGGTTGCATGTGCACAAACAACCCACGCTGATACTTACTCACTGTTGCATTAGCATTAGCTTGGTTTGAAACAATGGGCTGCTGTTTTTCTCTTTGATGGTGGCAGTTGTGGATGATAAAGGAAAGAAAATGAGCATCATGTATTGGGGAAGCAGGGGAAAATGTATCTGGATTCTGGATGCGATTGAGTTGTTAAATCCGGTTGCTAAAAGTGAATCAAAGTGCTGAGGGTGAGAGAGGGAGATTAAAGTGGTCCATTCATATTTTTGCACGGTTTTGTGCCTGTTATGTCTTTGGCCCCCACGTTTGTTACACTGTGTGTGTTCTCCAATGACTCACTGCGTGCTGTCTTGTCGGCAGGCAGAAAGTGAGGAGGAGGCGGCGGTGTTTGTTATTTAAGCAGGTTGCCATGGCCACGGTGTATTCGGGTGCTGCCATCATCAGTGTAATTACAATGCAGTGTCTTACAGTCACCCTCCTCACTGCCTGCGTCTCTCTGACGTCTGTCAGTAAGAAAAAAAAATTCTGTCAAATGATAAATGAGGATGATGTCATCTTTATTCTAATACAATGAGTTTTTGAAGCCTTATAAGTTTACGAGAACACAAAACATCTGCACAAAA